TACTTGAGTTGATTATATTTATTATTTTCAAAATTTTGTTTAGAAATATTTTACATAAATTTTTTTCTGACATGGTACCTTATTTGAAAATTATTTGTTATTTTTAATTATGAGTTACCTACCTCTCTATATATTTTAGGATAATAAAAATAAAAAATCCTACGTACCACTACAGCTACGATTTAGTATAGCACAGATCGAGCTTTGTTAGGACCAAGATGGGCCATGGCCCTCTAAGATTTTGAAAAAAAATTAATAAGCATGATATATTTTACTTTTAGTAGTTTTTATATTTATTTTGTCAAAGAAATAATAACGTGTTTTTGGTAATTTTAGAATGTGCTTGTATTTAGATAATAATTTAGTATTTAGTAGTAGCATAATTGAAAAATTTTGAATATTTTAAGTTTTTTGATAGTGAATGTTGGAGTGGAATTTCATTTTCTTTTTTTCTGTTTTTTTTTTTTTTACTATCAACGGGTAAAATTTCTTTTAGTTATACGCAGAGAGTATTTGATCAGCTACCTATAGTGAGGTGCACCATACTACACTTTATTTTGTTAACTATGTTTTGAATTCTGAATATTTTAAGTTTTTGGATATTGAATGTTGTTGGACTAGAATTCCATTTTTTTTTTCTTTTTTTCACTATTAATGGAGCTCCTGATTTTATAGACCATTTGATTAAAAGTGCATCTCTCCAAACCATGACCTGGGTTCAATCCCTTCCCCCTCCCCAAAATTGCACTTGTTTGAAAAAAAAAAAAAACTATATTTTGAATTCTTTATTAAGGGCATCTAATTAGATTGTTCTCTTTCATTCTTAAGTAATTTGACATATAGTTAATCTAAGTTCCAATAAACCCATAATGTTTATCATTTTTGATTTTTTCTTTTTTTGTTTAATATTCAAAATGTCCCCAATCAGTTTGTATACACATCAAGACCAATCCTTCCTCATTATAGTCAAAAGGAGACCTATAGTTTATACTATTGAATATACCTATAAATATGATGAAGAATAAAACTTAAGGATAAATATAGGCTTAAAGAGAAGAAAAATATTTGTCTATTTTGAAATTAAAAAATATTAATTAGTTTATGACAAATTTATAGCAAAAGAAATAAATATAATACTTATTGAATTTATTTGTGTGTTATTTATATCATATAATTTATATTACATTTGGTCCCTGTATTATAGTATTGTACTCACAAACAAGTCTAAAACAATTGAATTGAATTCAAGGTGTGAATCGGCCTGGGCAAAGTTTGAAATCAAATTCTTATCTATACTTTATTTTTTTATTTTCATTTTCAGTAACCAAAATTGAACCAAAATCTTTATGGATTTTTTGGTTTGATAATTAAAATAATTGGTTTTAATATTTCAATTATTAATTATAATCAAATGAACATTAAATGCCTATTTTAAGTTTAATAATAAATATATTCAATTAAAATTTGAAAATTTTAAGAAATATAAATATAATAAAATATAAAAAA